GATCTCACATACATATCCTTGTAAAGGAACCAACACGTACATAGATACACATACATAGATATCAGTGGTTTCCAAAACAGATCTCACGGCACGCCTTCCAGTCCAGGATTTAGGGATTACCCAGTTGTGTCAAGGTGTTTTTTTAGAAAAAAAAAGAAAAAAGAAACATTGACACAACTTGGGAACTGATTGAGAAACTATATAAATGTATATATTAGATCCTGTTAACAAGAATTTACATCCACAATCTAGCAACTCCGTTTTTGGATAGTGAGATCTGACCAATACTGATATTTATTGAGTACTCTGATTATTTTTTTGTGTTTGTTTTTATTTTTTATTTTTGTCCATTTTTTCCCCTTTTTTCTATTTATAAGCCTTGAGTATCTTATGAAGATTAACCTATAGAGAGAGCCATACAAAAAACATGTTTTTTTCTTGAATCAAATAGACTTTATTCTGGTTTGCTCATTTTAATTTTTAATTTTTGCATGGTAACCATGAACACTAGCGTGATACAATTATGGGATGAACCCTTCAGTGTATTAACCCACTTTTTCAGGTATTTTGGCTGAAGCATAGATTATAGTTGTCATGCCAAAAGCATGAGTTGGTGTTTGATGTGTGTTTATATATGTTAAGAGTTGTTTTTTTGTAAACCTTGGGATGACATTTATTGTGGTCTTTGATCTTGCACCAGGCCTAGACCATAAAACATCTAGATAGCCATCACCAGAGCTGGACACAAGGAATTTCATAGAGTGGGCAATAGACTGCCAGACCAACCCCCTCTGATCCCCCCCAGGGGTCTGCCCACTGAGAAACAACTAGTTTTGATATATAATGAGGGTGCCGGACTATCCAGGGAGCTCAGTTATTCATTTTTCTTTTGTCAGCAACTTCTAGGAGACCTATACCATCTAAGACTCCCACAAGAATTCTATATGGGGTAACTACATGTAAGGAATTTGTGTTTTCTCCTATTTTATTTTATGTACTGTTTTGCAATTTGTTATCTGTATGTCATTTATTTCTGTATTTTGTACTCAGCACTGTGAATCCTTTTTGTCAGATTAAATGTTTACTTAATCAGCTTGTGTCTCTGTTCTCTATGAGCTTCACTCTCCAGAGGAAAGCTCAGGTAAACACGTTACCAAAAAGGGTTAACTATGATTTATCAGTAAAAGTAGAACTGTGATACTATAATTCTCCAATTCTCCTGTGTGTGGGGTAACCTAAGACGCCCGGGTTTAAAAGTCTTGGTGGTGGCAGTAAAGTGTGTACTAGGGGGTTAGTGTAGAAGGGATTGCAGGGGTTAATTGAGTGGTTGCTGGGACTAGCAACAGGTAACCAGGGGTCTGGTGTCATTAACCCTGTCCCTTCCACACTCTCCCCACTGTCTCGGCTGGGCCTATAGCCCACGCACGTGACAATAGTATTAACTTGTGACTGGGTCAGGATTTAATATATTATTTCCCCTCACTGTACAATATTTATGGTATGAAGTGATGCTCTGTAGATTGCATCTGATTTTGAATTGTCTTTATATATAATATAAATAAAAAAAATACTTTTTTGAGTATCAATTATATTTTGTAATGGAACACATGGATGGCTGGTGGTGTTAAGGAGACACATGGAGGGCTGGGGGGGCTAATGAGACACATGGAGGGCTGATGGGGGTGTCTCAT